GGGGGGGGGGAGGGAGACAATTTTCATGATACACCTTTCTATAGTGACTATTTTTACTGAACACAAGCACAACAATCTGTATGACATATAGAACAACAAGACAAACTTATCTTTGAAGCGAATACCCCACACAGTCATTTGATATGACTATTTTGGTGAAAGTAACTAGCAAAACTCTGAATGAAAACTAGTTTACCTCTTGTTCAAAAATGTAAGATAAGCCTGGGTGGCTGATTATGAAGTTCACAGTGGAAGTTTTCAGATTCTCAAGCATCACAATGGAACAAAAAGGAGAGAAATTCTTCATCAACCAACACCTGTTTTCTGTAAAGAGAAAATTAAACTGCCTTACAAATAGTAACCCATTAAACGCTGTATCCTTTAGGACTAACATTTCCTTGGCTAAACTGTCAACTTTTTGAGGGTAGGAATGACGTTTGAGAGCCTTTTTCAGCAGGCCATACTGCACAAAAGGAACACACCTGGGTTGAGAAGTCAAACCCGGTTTGGCACCTACTAGCTGTGTGGCCTTGGGCAACTTGTCTCATCTGTAAAATGGTGAACACAATAGTTTCACTCTCAGGACCTTTGTGAGGGGTTTTTGTTTTTTTAAATCTATTTTTTATTGCTTTTACTGATTTTAGAGAGAAGGAGAGGGAGAGAGAGATAGAAACATCAATGATGAGAATCACTGATCAGCTGCCTCCTGCACGGCCCCCACCAGGGATCTAACCACGACCTCCTGGTTCATAGGTCAACACTCAACCACTGAGCCACGCCTGCTGGGCGTGAGGGTTTATTTTTATTTTTATTATCCTCACCCAAGAATATGTTTGCTTATTTTAGAGAGGAAGAAACATCGATACTAAGTGCCCTGACCAGGGATCGAACCCGCAACACTTTAGTGTACAGGATGATGCTCCAATGAACGGAGTCACCTGGCCAGGGCTGTGAGGGTTTAGATCGATACAGTAAAGTGCGCAATGTCTAGGCCATAGTGCACATCTAAAAGGTGCTAGCCTTATATAGCACATCCTCAGTAAACCATCCAGTTCTCTTCATTACCCCGGTTAAGATGAGCTCTGAGCAAGGTTCGGGCTTCCCTTTTCATCTCCTTCTTGCTTTTCTCAGGCATCGAGTAATGAACTGCACTGATAGTGAGGCGGGAATGGGTGTAGGTAGAGAAGACATCCTGGGAAGGCTGGCCTTGGCTAATGTTAAAACCAAGCACCTGCACCTGGCCATAAAGGCAAGTCACGCGACAGATCCCGCTAAAAGTAAAACCCTAGCAGGGAAAGAAAAAAAGAAAAGAAGTAACGTTACAGATCCTGTTATTAATGACTGAAACTTTCTAAAACCTTAGCTGCTGTTCACATATCAAAAGGTGACAGATTTCTAAATAACAGAATACACTGTAGTAGGTGACTTTCAGGTTTTTAAAATGTTTTTGACCTAAGATTATATCCCATGGCAGTACAGACACAGCAGGGGAACATGGACACATGAAAAACAAGGGCATCCCATGAACTCAGCTCTGCTGTCCTCCTGGCTCCCTGTCCTTAAAAGGCCCTGCCTGCCAAGTCACCCCGTCCCTGGGTTTTCACTTCCCTCCTGTACTGGAGGAGGACCTCCCAGACCAGATTCCAAGGAAAGAGCAGGGGCTCTGCAATAAGGCTGCGGGGGTTCGGATCCTATTACTGTGTTCCTCTTGGCAAGTTACCTAAGCTAAGCCTGTTTCTTCCTCTGTAAACATTCACACTAATAGCGGTAATGACTCCATGTGAGCTGGGGGTATTACATGGGTTCAGACAACCAAAACGCTAGAACACGCAGAGCCTGACATTACTAAGCACCCAGTAAATGTGGCCTATTATAATCATTACCACCGAAGTCCCCTTCAGCTCTGTAGGCCTACATCACCCTCAGCAGAGTCCTCCTTACCCTCTGCTCTGCACCACCGTCGGGAGGCATCTCTCCACTCGCGACCGGAGGACCGGCGGAGGGAATACGGTCTCCTCCCGGCCTGCGGCCCCGGGGCCGCGTCCTCCCCCCCGCCCCCCGGCCCGGTCCTCTCGGCGCCGACTCACCTGCTCCCGCGGCAGCAGCAGCAACGCGCGGCCCG